GCGTTGCGCTTTCTTCATTTTCTCTCGCGTTTTTTAAACTTACAAAAGTCGTATGCAAACTGGAGCTTTTTTTTTCCATCATTTTTGTTCTTTCTTCTCTATCCTTTTTGACTTTTTATCAAGGTACCGACGTTTGGCAAACGCGAAAAAAACAAGTTATACAAAAGAAGTAGAAAACAGCCCTGGTTGTATAATGCGCCACCTGGTATAGTGTTTTTTTTGTGTTTATCTTCTTTTTTTTTTTCATTTCCCATAACACTAATAAACACCCACTTTTCATGTCTATTAAATTCTATAGTTAATTGGGGGTACTTCGATACATTAATCATTAGTCTGTATGTTCGTCAGCGTCCTTTCGTTTCCACCTGTCCATGTATATTGTTGTATATTGTTTTTGGGGCGCGTGCCTATTAGAAAGTGGTAATACCAGGATCCCTTTAGCATAGTCGCTGTCAGCGCCCATGCTTGGTTTATTTACAATTCATGTGGCAAAGGTTCTATGATAAAATCAACCAGCGAGGTCCGCTAATCAACAAGACGCGTGTGTGCTACGCGCGGTATCGTCTGCCCCCTGTAAAAAAAAAGAAAAGGAAAGAAACGAAAAAAAAAAAAAATTCTGACTACACCCCCTCCGTTTAGACCATCACTAGGGAGGCGCATAAAAATAGTTTTAAAAAAGTTAAAAGGAAAATAATTATATAAAAAAATAAACAAATAAAACTGAAGACATTACTTTGTTTGTTTATGCCGTATACTGAAGAAAGAATTTTACTCAGGGATCCTGCTGTTTGTACGAAGAGGTGTATTTGTTTTAACCATGAGAAATCCTTTCCATCTGTCTTTTTGGAACGCTTGAAAAAAATAAAGTAAAATAAAGACATAATATAAAATATGGGCTTCCCAAAAAGCTAACCGGTGCGAGAAGTAAACGAGAACAATGAAACCAAGGTTAAGTTTATGACACTGCCCATGTGACAAACACGCGTAAGAAAATTATTTTTAATACATGTTCCGTCTTCTGGCTTCAAAGTACTAATTTAAGATTACGGAACCGAATATAGTACAAAAGAACTTTGTCGGTACATCCGATATCTGGTTTGTATATGTATTTTGGCGACAGTTTTTTTTTTTTAAGCGTGGGTGTTTGAAGAGTGCCTTTGAATTGATGTTAGTAAAGGTGTGCGTGTTTGTCTTTATGCGCTAAGAAACTGAAGAGGAATCTGTGCTGTTCCTCTAATTGGTAAATTTTCCGTCTGGTGGAACACACGGAATAAGAATAAAATGGGAGAGAAAAGAATATCTTATAGAACAAACAAATGATTTAGTAAAAAAAAAAAAATAATAATAATAATATTAATAAGAGGGGGTGGCTGGAGTGAGAACTGTAATTGAAACTAAGGCTTTAAAGTGCATAGGTCACGTGAAGTAAGCTTTTTTTTCATTTCTTGATTTTTTTTTTTTTGTTTGATTCTTTTTCAACGACCACCTGAGAAATGAGAAGTGAAAAAAAAAAATAATAGTCGGATGGAAAATAGAAAAAGAGAAAACGAATCTAAAAAAATTATCAAAAACAGAAGCAAATATAAAAACAAACAAACAAATAAGTGAATAAAAGGAATAAAGAAAAACAATAACAGAAGAGGTAGAGAACGCGAAAAAAAAAGAAAAGAAAAAAAAATGGTTGACAGTAAAGTCCAAGTGATAGAAAAGCTAACGTCTGCAAATCCCTTAAGAACCAGTGAATGAATGGAAAAATAGAAGGAGTCGAAAACTTTATGAAGAAAGAATGATTAAAAGTAGTAAAAATAAAGAAAAATGATTTGTGTTTGGATTATTAAAGAAAAGAAAAAGAAAAGAAATCAAAAATGTAAAAGTAAAAAATAAATAAAACGTTAAAAACTTCCAAGCTGTGGGAAGAACACTTTTCTATTTGAGGTTTGTTTCCCATGATTTTGAAAAGACTTTCCCATGATAAGACCTCATTAGCCACAGAGAACATACAATATTTATACCAGGTGACAATCTCCAAGACAGTGCTAAGCTTTTTTTTTTCAAAGGTCCCCTTTTAGCTGTTGTTTCTTCCAAATATCCTTCTTTTTGTGTGTGTTTGTATGATACAGTTCTCTCCACCTCCTTTTTCTTTTTACTTCATTTTTTTTGTCTCTTCAACTCCTACTTATTCTGTTTCCTTCATCATCTATTTCGCTCTCTTCACCTCTTTCGTATCCAAATAAATTGACCAGACCGCCAACAGAGAGTCGACGGACCCCACTCACATTACGAGTCAGGGTTGGGGAGTTTGTATTAATTTCTATGGCTCTAATATTCAGAGGCAAGGTACGCATGGATTACCAGCTTCTGGTTGGGACATAAAGGATATTATACATTCAGCTGCCGCTCTCAGAATCAACGAAATAAAGAACAAGAAGAAGAAGAAGGGGGGAACCACCGTGTCCAAGTTCAATTGGACATAACTTCAAAAAACGCAGATAGAGAAGAGATTAGACGCGAGACTGTTGCCGGAAAAAGAAAAGAAAAAGGGTAAATGCATAAAACAAGTTAGAAAGCAGAAATAAAAATGCATGAAGAAAAAAGGTGCGTCGAAAACGGAGTTGGCTAAAGGTTTTTCTCAGGGTGTTGGGTGGGTTTTTTCCTTGGCATGTGTTAGGTTAAAGTTTGGGAGGAAAAGTTTAAAAAGAAGCATGTTTTGCGCTTGCATTTTATTTTGTTTGGTTCATTTGCTTTTACAAGTTAAAAAAAAAACTAAAACAAAGCATAAAAAATATTCTAGGAATAAATAAGGACAATCCATGGGAAAAAAATAAAGAAGCTAAATAGAAAATGAGAAAAAGAAAAAAAATTCTTTCGACATTAAGGACCCTTAAAATATTTGGAAAATGATTTTAAGAGTCTTTTTATACAATATTGATTTTTCTAGGTTTTCATTGTGCCAAATAAATATATTAAAAAAATAATTAAAAAAAAGCAGTGAAAATGTTTGGAGAAGTGTTGCTTTCAAAGGATATAAAGGGAGCAAATTGAATAGAAAACAATAACTCACTTTGAAACCTCGACCTAAACTAAATTTTTAAAGCTATTTGCTTTTTCGTAATAAGTTAAAGGTCGCCTACTGTGGAACGAGGGTTACCAAGGCAACCTAATAAACCATCCACTTCTGGGGTGAGCTCGGTACTCACTAGTTGCAGTGTCCCTGTGTCAGACTAACATAATCTTATTTGAACTATTTACATGCGGATTGTTATTCTCATCATTTATGCTGTTATCACAACGTTTCGACTGTTTTGCCCTCCTTCCTCTATCAAGTATTGATCGCCCCAAATCCCAGAAATACAGACAGAAATGTAAGAGAATATTGTTGTAAACCTTTCATAATAGATATTTTTTTAAAAATATTTATATAAATAAAGATGGGATAAGTATTTAAAGCCAAAAACAAAATAAAAAAGAAAGAAAACTTTTTCTTTGTAGCTCCTGTTGCCATAACAGCTATTTTACTACCATCAACCGCTATACCAGAGTAATGGAAAAGGAGGCAAACTTAACTCCTATGTCTTGTCTCTATAATTTGGCGCCATACGACTTCATGACTCCTAGTAACAGGCAACCGCTGCCATATTTGTTATTTCATGAGCAAATGAATCAGTTTTATTTTTTATTAATTTGATTCTTTTTAATTTGCTATATATAGGGTGCAGCAATTGTAAGGCCCTTTTTAATCTATTAAATGTTATTGAACAAAAATCGATTACAGTAGTTAAAAAAAATATAAGTATTGTCACGTTAAAACAACATGACTTGTTATAGATAACAAACTATTTTTAACGTGTTCAAAATTCTCTCATTCATGTCCTATACAACACTGAAACCTATCAGCGACAATTCCAGAAACTATTTGACATATTTCTACATTAATTTCAGAAAATTTATCCGGAATTAATGTTTTAATACCAGAATTGTTTTCAGTTTGAACCTGTAAAAAGATCTTTCCTTACACTCCACCATAAAATGTCTGGTGGTGTTAGGTCTGGTGGTGTTAGGTCTGGTGGTGTGAGGTCTGGTGATAGTGATGACCACTCACTTGATTTACGTTGTCTTATTCACCTAGAAAAAAAGGGCGTTACTTTTGCTGTACCCTGTATAGATATATAATTTGAAATTTTTTAAAGTTATTTTTAAACCACTGACTACACAATGAAATAAATTTTTTACGGATTCCACTGAAAATGTTTATTTGCTTTTTACACTTTTATTTACTTATTTAAATATTAGGCCCCATCCTGTAGAGCTGTACGTATAAAGATTCAGAAACAGGAAGAAGAAAATAAGTGAATGAAAAATAAAAATAGTAAAAGAAACGATAAAAATGGTGCGGGTCAAAAACGAAGGTTAGAGAAAAGAGAAACTAAAAAAGAAAGTATGTGTCAGGTAAGAAAAAATGATTAATGTGTGTGCGTAGGTGCGCGCGTGCGTGTGGGTGAGTTGGAGAGATAGAGAGAGAGATAGAAAATAACGGATGATGGTTTATTTGACGGGTGAGATGATTCCGCAACTTTCGTCATCACCAACGAAAAGTGGTGTTCAAATTCAGGTAAAAGGCTAAGATTCCGAGAGCTGATTTTCTTGGCAGGCATGAAATCTCTCCTTGGAAGATTGGCGTAATACAATCTTTAACTCCTATTTCCCAACAAACAAATTTAGACTTGTACTATACCAGTTTAATATTAGTATCTACAAACACTACCAACAGAGAATAGACGGACCCCACTCACAATGAGGCTTAGAGATTTGGTATTCATTTCCATGGCCCTAATATTCAGAGGCAAGGTACACACGGGTTACCAGCATCTAGTTGGGGCCTAAAGGGTATTATTATTATAAAGAAAGCTAAATAAGTGAAATAAAAAGGAAAAGAAAGCGATGAAAGAGAAAATATTTGAAAAATATTTGGAAAAGATATTTGGAAAGATAAAAGATTTTTTTTATAAACAGAGAGAAAGAGAGAACAAGAGAGAAAGAGAGGGGAGGAAGAGGGAGAGAGGGATCAAGAGAGAGAGAGGACAAGAGGGAGGGAGAAAGAAAGGGAGAGAAGGAATGAGAGGGAGAAAGAGAGAGAGGGAGACAGAGAGAGGGGTTGGGCAGACAGAGCAGAGGAGAAATAATAATATTAAGGTAGGGAAAGTATCAAGGAGAAGAAAAGAAAAGGAAAAAAAATCTTTTATCTGATTTAAGGAAAGAGAAAGAAAAACTATTTAATGTCATGAGAAAAAGAAAAGGAGAAAAAGTAGACATGCAAAAAAAAAGAGAAAGAAAGAGAATTATCTGAGGATAAAGAAGGTGGATAATACTAAGAGAGTGGGAGAGAAGTGTGAAATGAAAGTAAGAGAGGAAAATAACATCAAATTAAGATAAAAATAAAGAAGAGTGTTGAAGAAGAAAATTAAAAAAAGGAATCGTATAAACGAATGGTATAAAAGTGAACGAGAAAAGAGGAACGAAAGTGAATAGTAGAATAAATGAATGAATAGGGAAAGGGAAAGAAAGGAGATTGTAGAATAAGTGAATAAGAAACTGGCAACGAAAGTGAATGATAGAATGAATGAATGAGAAATGAGTCGAAAGGAATGGTAGAATAAGTGAATGCGAAAAAGGAAACAAAAGTAATAGATTAAGTGAATGAATAAAAAGGCAAAAAAAGAGAATGGTAAAATAAATCGATGAAAAGGGTACGAAAAAGAATGGTAGAATAAATAAAGGCGTTAGCAATAAGTGTGAACAGTGGAGTCAGTAAAAAGCCAAAGAATAACAAAAACAAAGTATGAAATAAGTAGATATAAGAGTATAAGAAAAATCAGAGAAAAGGAAAAATTTAAAAAAAAAAAAGAAGAAATACAGCAAAAATAGTGTAGATGGAAAGAGTTGGTTTGTGTATTTGTTTGAAAGTAAAAGAGATGGAGAGAAAGAAAGTGTTTTAAAGAATGGAAATGCTAGAGTTCTAGATATGAAAAGGAGAGAGAGAGAGAGAGAGAGATTTGTATTAATCTTCTCTTTTTTATATATATATATATATATATATATATATATATATATATATATATATATATATATATATAGGGGGTGATTTGTGCCTCTAGATACGACGAACGCACAAAATTTTAAAATTTACAATTTATCGACCTTACAGCTTCAGCGTTTCCCTTCGGTGCTTAATGGCAACCGGTGTTCACATTTATATTTTTTTGCACCCATATATATATATATATATATATATATATATATATATATATATATATATATATATATATATAATATAATAAAAAAAGAAAAGAAAGATAAGATATAAAATCCGGTGTTCTTATAGATATTTTATTTTTACAAAATAGTGCTCAATGTAAATTTACAGAGCATTAATATTATAAATTAATTGATTTAATTGATTTAAAATATGGTTTTTATTTTAAACAATTATTTTAAATCATATTATATATATATATATATATATATATATATATATATATTTCCTATCAATAACAACATTAGTTATATGAAATTCGTTCAGGGGACGAAATGCCTTGAATAGTTTTTTTTACATTTTGTCATTTACACACAAACCCACACATACACACTCACACACACACGCACGCACACAGAGACACACACGCAGATACATATATAGGGGAGAGAGATAAACAGATATTGAATTTCATATATGTGTGTGGGAAAACGATATATATTTTTATATATATTAAGAACAATTTTAGGAAACTCTATGTCAACGTGGAAAAAGTTTTCGTCTGACGTGTTTCGTCCAAGTGTTGTTTACTTTGATGCGACTACACATGCGCACAAAGGAGAGAGGACGCCGAGAATTTAAAATTTAAATTATTTTTTTCCTTTTTTTAATATATGTGTTTGTGTAAATGGTGTAACCGATTTCATTTATTTTTTTTTCTTTTTGTTCATGTCTCCATCACTTTTGCAATTTAATATCCCACATTTTGATGGTATAAGATCTTCTAAGAAAGGTGAAATGTTACCAGAACCTGGATGTAAATTTACTATAGATGATTTAACGATTAAAGCACATTCTATACATTTTCGTTTTTAGTAAATTAGAATAACATTTTGTTAAATTTTTAATAAGAGTAGCATTGTTTTTTCATTTTATAGGACCACAATGTAAGGTTGATGAATTATAAATTTCAAAACAAAATTATGTTCAGACTCATTACATTGATCAACTAATGAATATGAAAGCACAGCGTAATGGGTGGTGGTTCGGACTGAGGAATCGGAGAGCCGAGTTCACTAATTACATTAAATAATACCGTTGGGGTAGGTATGAATCTATTTCCATCTCCTCCCTAATTATCTAACCATAGCTATGGGTGGAAATGGTTTCATACCTACCAGTCTATCCTACTATCTACCCATAGCAGGATAGACTGGGTCCTATATCCTTGAGTGGCGAAAGGTCTAGGAGAAGGACAACTCTGAATTCAAATTCTTTTGGGGGCCTTGTGACATACTGCGCATCAGTCTTCATATTCGGCTCTTCTAAAAAGTGTGATTGTTTCTGCACACCACTATAACCAAATGATATGTGCGGCTAGTCTGACTGTTCTAAGAACTGAGCTGCTTGACCCTCATACGTCGAAAACGTATTGATATTTATTATTTGTATTTTTAAACTCAATACTGTTTACCTTATAATATCTCAGCACTGTAATCTAGTCTAAACCCTATATATAAGGTGAGTTATATGCATTGCATATGATCTAATTCAGAGTTATTTCGTCTTTTTACTTGAAAATGTCAAAAATTAAACAATGATACATAATAATAATCTTATAATTGATAGAGCCTGCTTTAGAATTGGAGTATTACTGCCAAATCAAATCCCGAGCTGTTCAATCCTCGCTTGCCTGACTTGATAGAGTTCCAAAGCATCTACACACCCTTGTGGGTGATTAAATATTTCCCACCCTACAACCTCTTTCCCACAGACGAAACGTTGCGAGCCTAATTTGCTCTATCGCTATTTCCATGGCATGTGTTCTGACAAGTTACATTTCTTAGTCCCACCACTCTGACCTTTACAACTGGGACACGCCATGACACGTACACAAGTGTGAATCATTCATATTCCCTTCACATTCCAAGAGTAAGGAGTAAGTTCCATTCGGAAAAATTCTTTCCAAGGATTGTTGCTTTGTGGAACAGACTCTCGGTAGGGTGTTTTCTCAATCACGACAATCTTGACCATTTCAAGTGTAGGGTTAACCGGTATTTTTCCTGCATAGCCGAATGAACTTCACTTCTAGTCCTTTCTTACGCACATACAACCCACACAACCCTCTACCTTGAGTGGCACTTAGGCCTTGTATTGGGTGAACATTAGTACAAAAAAATTATCATGCCATTTTTCATTTATATATATAATATATATATATATATATATATATATATATATATATATATATATATATATATATATATAAAACTGTTCTTCGCATTACGCGTTGATTCTTTTTTCTTCTTTACGTCGCGTTCCTTCAGGACATTGGCGACGATCAAGGCTCTCTGCGACTTCCTAAACCATGTAGGTTTTAGCAGTATTTCTCCCTTTTTAGAGGAGCTGAATATAATTGCGATTTGTGTGAGTTCGTTGGCCAATATCTTAAATTTAAGTTACACGTTCTCGGGCCAAATATAACGCAATCTCAATGTGCATTGATTTACTTCGTCTTTAAGAGTCAAATGTAATGGGTGGATAACATAACGGTTATCAGCGCAGAAAGTTGAGTCGGCGAAACGTTTTCAAGTTCCAGCCGAGTCCGATGCGTTCATTTTCGCACATTTTTTTCTTCTGCGCGCCATGTTCCTTCAGAACCTTGGCGATCATGGCCCTCCTTTGATGTCCTTAGTAAATTTAGTTTTTTGCTCTATCTCCTAAACCCTGTTCTGCTAACCATCGCATAAAGGCACGAATCCACCTTTACTCCCCCAAATCTATGCGAATTAGTAGAATAGACGCGGCTTTCTAGCATTGAATAATAGCCAGGAGGACTATTCTGAATTCAAGACGGGTAATCATTCCACTATCGCTCCCACGAAGTCGTAGCAATTCGCAGATTATCAGGAAACAGGATTTGTGGAGAGCTATGATAGCCTACGTCCAGAATTAAAAGCGCCTACACCTTGTCATTAAAGAAATACCTAAAACTTCGTTTAAACACTACATTGCATAGTATCAAAATAGTAACACACACACACACACACACACACACACACACACATATATATATATATATATATATATATATATATATATATATATATATATATATATATATATATGTTGGTTGTTTGGTTGGTTGATTTTGTTTAGCGGCATATCAATTACTATGGAGTATTTAATGCCGAAATCTAAATAATTTGAAGACAGTTTTATGGCGTCAACTAAATATATTTTAAAATGTATTGCCGGTTATTTTGCTTTAAAAATATATTGTTAGTCATTTTACTATGAAAATGTATTGCTAGCATTTTTACTATAATCTTTTTTATACTTTCATAGTGTTTTCTTTTCCTTTTTCGGGATTCACTATTTGCCCATAGGTATGACGGTAACAGGTGCTACACCTCGGGTCAAGGTGAAATTGGGAAGAATAGCAATTAAGAGGTGGTTCTAGGCTCCTCAAAACCTCCAATCCCCAGATCCGAGGCCTTGTTGCTGGATTTAGTTTATCATCATACCCAGGAAATATATATATATATATATGTGTGTGTGTGTGTGTCTGAATAAATTATAGACATTATGTCTGCTAAATTTTAATCAAATCCGCTCATACTCACGAATAACCTTCAAGGATGAGAAAAATGTGCTATAGCTGTTTAATTTTTCTCATCCTTTAACATCAATACTCGGACGGTTATATTTTATTCAATCAGACATGTCTAAAAGAGAATTTCCTGCCTAAATACATACATACATACATACATATATATATATATATATATATATATATATATATATATATATATATATATGTACACACACACACATAGAGGGTGTCCCAGCAGTCACATATCGATTTAAAGGTGGATAAATTTCATTTGTTATTCATGAAAGGTTTTATAAAGAATGAAATTTCAAACGCAGTAAATTCATTTCCATTTAATCATGAAAAATTATACGGCGTCCATTTTTTACGTCATAGAGACACTTTCTTCCTAGAGGTTTCTCCTTAACTCAAGCTGCAGACCTCGACCTTCTGTACATGTTATCCTTGTGTTGTTGAACAAACTGTGGTTTATTGATGCATACAGTCTCCTTAAGGTATCCCCAGCCTCAAGAAGATAATCGGATGGTGTCAGATCAGGAGATTATCCGGTAAGCAAAAGTCTGATTCAAAATCCAAAATAAAATTCCTAGATTTCGGTTCTTTGTTCAGTTATGATTTTTCTCAGGGGAAATTTTTCGATGTTAATCGAAATTCTGGAAACAAAAAAGAAAGAGAATTATGAGAAATATAACGTTATGACATTTTAAAATAATTTTGAAACACCCTGTATATATATATATATATATATATATATATATATATATATATATATATATATATATATTATAAATTAATTGATTTAAAATATGGTTCTTTCGCTACACAGTTCTAACCATGTTTCAAAAATGGAAGCTAAAAGCCCCGAATTTAATTTTGTGATTAAATTAAAGACAGTAGTTCTATTTCATCCTCAAGCGAATTTTGGAGTAACTTTTTAAAATTACTGGGTTTTATTATATATCTTGCTGTTCCGACAGATTTTATAAATTTATTTGTTTAAACGTTATTTTTTTAAATAGATACCCATACTTGAATAGCTGCTCTGTTTTTTTGTTTTGTTTTGTTTTTTTTTTTACTTATTAAACAGTATATTTATTTATTTACATCGACCGGCCGGAATATTCGAGAAATCTTATTAGAAAAATATTTGTCCTTCGGCAGGATTCGAACTAGGGGAAACCACCGTTACATCTTACGTGCCTGAGACAAACTTGGCCAAGTAGGACCTGCTGAATAAACAAAGCAGAAATAGTGGTTTTGAATACAAATCTTCCTCCCGATTCTCGAAATATACATATCTGATATGTTTTGTATCCTAACGTAAACAAAGATAATTTTTTTAAGAAATGGGTTAAATTTCACATTTCTTTTAAATTTATTAAAAAGTTATTTTTGGAATAGATACTCAGATTTGAGATGATCTGTTTTTATTTATTTATTAAAAATTATATTTATTTACATCTATTAGCCTGACTATTCGAGAAATCTTGTTAGAAAAATATGCGTCCTCCGGCAGGATTCGAACCTAGGGAAACCAGCCGGAAGACGCATATTTTTCTAACAACATTTCCCAAATATTCCGGCTAGTCGATGTAAATAAATAAATATAATTTTTAATAGATAAATAAAAACAGACCATCTACTCAAATAAGAGTATCCATTTCAAAAATAACTTTTTAAGAAATAAATTAATATATAAATATATATATATATATATATATATATATATATATATATATATATATATATATATGTGTGTGTGTGTGTGTGTGTGTGTGTGTGTGTGTATGTATGTGTGAGTGTGTAAATTATTTTCAGATAGTGTATCTCTAAAAAGAACAAAATGAAAAAGACAAGAGAAAAATCATTCTTAGCCAACATGTGTGTGTGTGTGTGTGTGTGTGTGTGTGTGTGTGTGTGTGTGTGTGTGTGTGTGTGCAGAGAGAGAGAGGCTGCAAGTAAATTATTTCTTTAAAAAATAATCGCTTCGTTTTTATCTTCGCCATTTTTAACACTCGGATATGTTAACGTTAATTGTTTAATGAGAGTAACGTCCCTTTAACTAAACACTAAATTAGACTCCCATAACGGCCTCATTGCTTAGTCACCATCAGCAGTTACGATGAATGAGCTCCAACCAAGCAGCTAGTCTCTTTTTAACTAATTTAAATATGAAACATATAAAATTATTTTGGACGAGCATGCTATACCCGTGCAAGAAAAATGTCTATAAAAAAAAGACTCTGACACAAATTCTGTATTTTAAAATTATTTTTATAGTTGCTATTAGTCAGTTTCATTATTTATTTATTATGGAATAAAGTAAACATTTTGTAGTGATATGTAAATGACCGACTAATTAGACTATATGTATCTAAGCAGTAAGAGGAGGGGGAAGTATATGATACGCGAGTCAGGCTTGCGAGATACCGTTTATCGTATCACGTTTATCATCTCTCAATTGCGTCTTTGTCTTCAGTCAAAGCGCAACTAAGAACTGAGAACAGCTGTCCTCGGCAGTACCTCCCTCATTGCGCGAGAGCGGATGAATCGGTAGTCATACTGATGCCAGCATAATCGACGATTGAGGGAGCTGGGCTATTTTGCGGCCTGGCTTGTGTGCACGGGTTCCGGTTCCCCATATTAAACTGAGCTTGTGTCGCATCCAACCTAAGAAGATACGAAGGAAATCACATTGCATAACACTTTTAGAAATACGTCTATATTGCAAAAAGAAAAGTGCTAATTAATCGCGAATTATTAAATTTAATACAACTAACTTTTCTTTTTTCTTTTTAGTTAACTATTTAGGGCGTGTTATAACAGACGACGGAAAAAAGAGAATCTTGAAAAAGATGCCTTCTTAAAACAAAACAAATTATTAAGGAACGTGACAATTTCGTTTGAAGCAAAGAAAAAAATTGCTGAACTGCTACGTAATATCAATCCTACTATATGACAGTGGAGAATCTCCTCACAGATGAGTCAACAAAGACGGATAATGAGAATACTATGGACGGAGCATTTGAATAAGGGTAAATTTTAAGGAAAATAGGATCAGAAAGGAAACTTGTATTTGGAATCAGAAAGCGACTGTTTGGATTTCTGGGGCATATGCTGATGAAAAAGAGCTTGGAGAATTTGACACTCACAGGACATAGGCAAAAATGGCAAAGGGAAATATTTGTTAGTGAATAATCCACATAACAAAATTGTATAAATGGATAGCAGAACGCACGAAATCTTAATGTAAAATACACTGCTTAGGGGTACAAATGATAGAGAATGGTAGAATAAATGAATGAAAAAGGGAACAAAATGGAATGGTAGAATAAGTGAATGGAAAAAAAGGGAACAAAATGGAATGGTAAAACAAATGAATGAAAAATGAATGAATGAAAAATAGGAACGAAAGGAAATGATAGAATACATGAATGAAAAAACGGAACGAAAGGGAATGGTAGAATAAATGACTGAAAAAAGAGAATTAAATGGAATCGTAGAATAAAAAAGGATGAAAAAAATGGATCAAAATGGAATAGTAGAAAAAATGAATGTGAAACATGGAACGAACGGATTGGTAGAATAAATGATAAAGTATTTAAAGATATTTTTTGTAATTTTGGTAAATATATCTGTTAAAATGAGATGTCAGTATTATTTTCTTTTTTTTTTTTGGGGGGGCGGAAATTAGACGACAATTTATCCATCGCACCCTGTATATGGAGAAACGTACCAAAATGGAAGACTTTTTAAGCGCGTTGCGCCTTCAGGTCAGCTTTGTCTCATTTCTACACTTTTGTTCGGATTTTGTACCCTAGTAACACGCATATTATATATATATATATATATATATATATATGTAGAAATATAGTTTTAAGTTGTGCTGTATTTATGGGAGATAGAGCGTATGTAAATATAAATATAAAAGTGAACATAGAACTCAACACTCAGAGGTGACAGGTTGTTTCATGCTGGACGCAATCGTCAGGCCGCCTGAGGATTACGTCCAGCATGAAACAGCCTGTCGCCTCTGAGTGTTGACTTCAATGTTCACTTATATATATATATATATATATATATATAATTATTTATTTAAAAATATGATTCCAAATCGCTACATAAGAGGTCTCATGTTTCAAAACAAGAGCCGAAAACTTCAATATAATCCTTTAAATTAAATTGAGTTATTATATTTATGCTCTACTTTTGTATCGAGCACTATTTTTTAAAAATAATAACTAAAATACTAAGGGACTTTGGATTATTTACCTAACCAGTTCCTTCCTATTTTCTATATATTTCACACACACACACACACACACACACACACACACACACACACACACACACACACACACACACACACACACACACACACAGATATATATATATATATATATATATATATATATATATATATACTGTTTAAAGTTTGCTATATTTGTAGGGCAATAGTGCTCAATAGCAGTGGTAGAGCGTTTTTAGATACAAGCACTGTATATTTAGGAATCAACACTGCATGGAAACTGTCCATCGTTTGAAAATCACATGATGCAGGAACCAAACAGTCAGCACGTTATGTTATTTTCTATGTCCACACTTTCTATCTATCATGATTCGTAAAATGACTAACACCGTGTTCCTCTAAGATAACGCTTTTTAGGCAAAAAATATTTGTGATTAATGTTTTCAGTTTCAACAGATAGAAAATTAATAGTAGCAAATAAAATTACTCAGAATTTCTCAAAAATATGGCATACCTTTGTCTAAAACTCTTATCCAGATAGAGTCTCGAATAAAACAGACAATACTGAAAACAGAAAGAGAAAAAGGACAGAAAGCAAACTTACCTACCCAGTAAAGTGCTCGAGGGCCTGACAACGCTTACCTATGTTAAATCCTATGAAAGGATGGCTCTAGTTGTAACCCGAATTTCACGCTCATACGATCTTCAGACGACTTACAATATATATATATATATATATATATATATATATATATATATATATATATATATATATATATATTGTCTGACGATGGCAAAGGGCATTAAGCCCAGGGTCACAAACTCACATCAACGCAATTAAATATCTTAGGTCTATCACTGATATTGCCAGTTTTCCACCGCACATATAATATATAAATAATATATATAAAAATTGCATATGCTTATATATATATATATATATATATATATATATATATATATATATATATATATATATAATTCATGAAATTAAATATTCTGTTAATCAATATTTTGAATAATTTTAAGAAATAAAAAAAAATGTATATTTGGGAAGAGAGCACGGCCAAATGGAAATGAAAAAGGGAATTATATTTTTACTTTAAAACCTTAGATGATCCATTTACAAATTTATAATGTCATTAGAAAAGCAGAATTGTCTTTTGTAATGAAGAAAATATAACTTTTCTTTTATTACGTATGTTTTTTTTTTCTCATTTTGTAAGAAAAAGAAATCATTTTTTTTTTCTTGGCTGAATACTGGTTTATATCATTTTAAGAAGTAAATACTTTTTTCTAGTTCAAATTAATTAAAGAGTAATCAAGAAATGTAGTCATAAATACTCAATCTTACTCTCATTCTGAGTCATTCACCCACTCATTCTAATTCATTCATTTATTCTCATTCACTCACTCATTCTTGCCCATTCATTCATTCATTCTGACTCACACGCTCATTGTGATTCATTCATTCATTCTTTCTGACTCATTCATTCTCTATTTCTGACGCTCGTATTCTGGCTCAATTCATCGCCCATTCTAATTCATGCACTCTCTAATTTTCCTCCCTTACTAAATCCCTCTCGAACACACTAATGCATATAGGAGATGATAGCGTAAATTTCCCGAACTAGGATCTTCTTTGCAGTTTCTCTCAGCATTCTTCCGTTGAACTACATCTCTATTGCCTCAAGTCTGTTTAACTATTAGAAAATTGTCCAATATTCAACGCTATATAGAAGATTAATCATTAATAGATATCTATGCAGATGATACCACAGTTTATGGACACACTTCCAAAGACCAAGATAATCGGTGCCTTGCAGATAATCTCTCCTCTGATCGACTTCTAACAGCTAACAGTCGGGAAATGACAGCTGACATTTTTTTTGGATGGAGCAGGATAATGAGAGAAATAACAGGACTTGCTTGAGAATTTAAAACTCGACAAAACAAGGATATAAAGACATATGGGCAAGAGAAGCAACAAAAAGAAGGAGACTGTGGAGAGCCATGTGCCCAGATCCTGAAAAAAAAAGACACATGAAAAGAAGTTAAATGTTTCCTTTGATTTCCGCCCAAACTATTGAAACTTGCGCACACGTTAAAATTTTCATGGGAAATCTCAATAGAATATAGTGATTATATTTTCGCTTTCAAATTTGGGAAACATGATGTTTTAACAAGTTTGTCTTTTTAAATTTCAATATTTGATCACTTTCGGCTTTGGAACTAAGCTACGCTTGGAAAACCCTTGTATATATTACCAAAAAAATGAGAAAAATAGAAAGATTCAGTTTATTCACTTTTTGCCGAGAAGGGACGGCGCCATGTCTTATGTGATATTTTACGAAATAAACGATTTAAATGGCTAATTTTCTAGTATCGTTCATGTGAAACTCTCCTTGATAATACCCCACAGAGCGTTGAAAAAGAAAATTATATTATCTAGGGGTGACAAGACTTTTGGACCAGCTTGTACTTTCATATGAAGATAATCATATATGTATATGCGTCCGTGTGAAATAAGCACGCTTAAATTCACTTTTATTTATGAATAGGCGTTAAACCAGTACCTTTTGCTCTCCACTACAGCTCCTCCTCTTCCGCTAAGACAGATCGCCTGTCTTATTTTATCTGGTTGTAAATCTACTGTCGCTTCGACTGTGTCGACAAAGGTACCGACTTTAGGAGTTGCAGCTCAGTGAACTTTCACCTTCCATATTAGTCCCAAACAAACGAGACTATTGATGACAGCGGGACACGCGTCAAGGTGCAGATAGATCTTGGACGTGTGAACACGTGCGCATGCGCACAAGCCTCTATTCATGCGTCCAAGCAAATGCGGCCGTCTGCGAACGCATATAAATACACGCATTGATAAAAGCTCGCATCACGCATCAAGGTACGAAGACAAGGCCATGAAGAATAAAAAAAAATATCTAAAACATATATATTCTAATGTATTCTTATAAACAGTGTGTTATTGTGGTTGCTTTGCATGAAAATGAAACCAGAAGTTAGTGAGTTATTTATTGAATTTTAATACGTAATTAATGGAATATATAAATTATTTATCTTATACTTTGTCTTATATTAATCCTCTGATTGAATAAAATATATTCAAATTAAATCATGATTAAATCATAAAATTTAAAAGTGTATTACGTAAATTTTCTTTAAATGTTTTTTTTTTTTTTTCAAATTAAGTTATTATTAAGAAAACTTGTTGGGTTATTTAATGACAAAGTGTCATGTTATTTAATGGTAAAACTTTTCGTATGGAATATTATTTAATGTCATTTAATGTAGAATATTATTTAATGTTATTTAATGTAGAATATAGCTTTTAGACGACAAAAATGACAATGAAATTTAGAAATAGATTCGATTTATCATTACCCAAAAATATTAACCATAGGTACATATATATTCTGTGTTACATTGATTTTTTAGGGTTTATTAACATTTCATCGGACTGAAAAAGATTTTGATGCTATTTTTGATTACCAAAAAAAAAAAAAACAGGTATATGACTAAACACGTATATTCATTAAAAGAAGGGATGTTAAAAAATTGTTTAAAATTCACTTAAACTTATTTAAATTAAACAATTTTTTGAGAATTTGACACTTTAAAAAATATCGAGTTTTGTGTAAATTACAAACGACAGGAAATTGTGGAGAGCCATCGATGAAGGGAACATAGAAAAAGAAGATGCTGAATGCAAATCTTAAGATTTCTGTAATTTTAAATATATTAGACATTTTGAAAGACCCTTATTTTGACATGTTTCGCTGATTAAATACCTTTATCAGAAAAAAAAAAACGGATATTCTTTGAAATAGAATCATATTTTCTGATTATTTCAAGTGAGTTTCCTAAGGTCAAGGAATATTCATCGACATCTCAATAGAATATAATTATATTTTCTTTCAAATAAAGTCAGTTTTTCTCTTTATTTCAATATTTGATCAGCGGAACATATTAAAATAAGAGTTTGCCAAGGACGAGAAATAAACATTCAAATCTCACTCATTATTTATATATTTGTCAAATAAAATCCGTTTTTTTTCTGGTGCTGCTGCTTGCTCAGTGGAACATGCTAAAATAAGAAAATGGCTTACATACGTATATGAATATAGTATTATTTATTACTTTGTCTTAGAAGTTGTCAAACTGATAAATCGTGTACGTATTTTATAAGTTACTATTAAGAAAACTAATGACAAAGTGGTAAAAACTTTTCGTATGGCGCGTTTCGTCCTTTACGACTTCATCGGACTAAAGTGATGCTTACGTTGATGTGACTACACATGCGCACGAAGAAGGGATGTTGAAATTTTAAAACTTAAATTTACTTTTGTTAAAAAATATATTTGGATAAAAAATATTATCGAATTTACCAAAACCGTCAGTATACAGAAAATCTTCACACAATAATTTTGACCTGCAATCACTGAAATTTTCGTACTGATCTGCGCAATGTAAACAAACTGAAGTACGAAAATTTCAGTGATCGCACAGGTCAGTGTTGCCAATATTGTGTGAAGATTTTCTGTGAATTGATTATACGGTTTTTGAAATATTAGAAAAAGTTATCTCGATAATAATTTGGCACGCAGTGTATAGTTTAGCCAATTTCCTTTTGTTTTTTGTTTTTTTTTGTTTATGGTTTTATCACTTGTATTAAGTACCCCACTTTCTGATAATTTTTTCCTATGTTATTTTTTAAAATTTCATGGCGTCTTAATTTTAGAAGAAGCTTCCTTTAACAGTATTAATTCCCAAGTTCTAGCGCACTATAGACTCGAAAGCTGATTAATCTAAATTCGTGACACGTGCTCCAGATTAGACATTATTGATTTTATGATAATGTCATTTTGATTACATCAACCTTAAACATCCGTCAACATGAAAGACTCAATTCAGAATTCTACCAAGTGACATATTGAAAATAATAATGTAAATTAAATTTTATAATTATTATGGAGCTATTTTTGAAGTTGACTTTATATACAACAGAACATCTTTCTATTATCAACGAGCAGATTGGGACTCGTTTCGAGATTTCCTTTGTGATGTCCCTTGGAATACCCGTCCAAAAATGTGCGTCTGAATTCTCATCCTGGGTAAAAGCTGGAATCGAGGCTTTCATCCCTACAAGAAACTATAAAGTGAAATCGCATTCACTCCATTGGTTCTCAGCTGCTTGTGCAGCTGATATTGCCCACAAGAATCACTACTTCCGACTATACAGTAGAGACATGTCTGATTACAATAGACGTCGCAAGCATGTCCTCAAATAAGCAAAGTTACTCTTTGCCCAAAGAATGAATCAACGTATTGCGTCTCGCAAGTTTGGTTCAAAAGATTATTGGCGGCTCTGCAAAAGCGTGATGAACAACAGCAAACCCACAATACCCCCTTTATTCAACCAACAAGCTTCTAACCTCCTCTGATGACAAGGCTAAATGGTTTGCGCGTAAGTTCTCATCCAATTCAACACTAGACTCATCTGGTGTACCAACACCAACCTTTTCCCTAGAACTGAGGCTCTACTGAGTGAGATGCACATAACCCCAACTATGGTATTGGGCATCATCTCTAAATTAGACTCCCAGAAGGCTAGTTGTGGAGACGGGGTATCGGCCAGTTCTGAAGAAATGTGCTCCTGAACTGGCTCCTGTCCTCTCTAAACTTTACAACTACTGCCTCACTGAATCTTGCTTTCCAGCCTGTTGGAAGTGCTCAACTGTTGTGCCTCTCTTTAAAAACACTGGTAACCCTTCTGACCCGTCTAACTACTGTCCTATCAGTCTCCTACCAGTATTCGGTAAAATCTTCGAGGTTTTAATCAACGCCAAAGTGGTTAAGCACCTTACTTCCTATAATTTGCTCTCCGGGAAGAAATATGGCTTCCGCTTTGCCCGATCTATTGCTGACGTGCCCACGGCCATAAGTGAATTTGTATACTCATCACTCAACAATAATGGAGAAGCTTGAGCCGTGGTTCTAGACATCTCTAAAGCGTTTGATAGGGTTTGGCATGCTAGCCTTCTTTGTAAGCTTCAGGGTTACGGTATTACAGGACAATTATTTGACTTGATACAATAATTCCTGTCAAACCGTGAAATGAAGGCCGCCCTAAACGGGCTCTCCCCCGGCTCCATTTTCACGAACGCTAGTGTCCCCCAACGCTCTCTCTTGGACCCTACACTGTTCCTGATCTTGATCAATGACCTTCCTGATGTCATCAGTTCCCAAGTTGGCATCTACGCGGATGACACCACTATTTATTCCCGTCTCAATAGTAAATCAAGTATCGTTGGCAACACTAACTTGGCTAATGATCTCGAAAAGGACCTCCAATCTGTGGTTGAATGGGGCAGGAAATGGCTTGTAAACTTTAATGCCTCCAAAACAAAATTGCTCTCCTTTACCCACCACAGAGAACACCTCCTGCCTCCTATCAGAATGGCTGATTCCCAACTCCTTGAGAGTGCCTCATTACGCCTGCTTGGTCTCACGCTGTCCATTGACATGGGGTGAAATAAATACATTGAATCAATAGCTTCATCTACCGCAAGGAAATTTGTCTCTCTGTGTCGAGCCAGAAAGTTTTTCTCATCTGAATCCATCCTTCAAATCTATGAATCAACCATCCATCCTTGCATGCAATATTGCTGTCATATATGGTCTGATGCTCCCTCTGTACGTCACGGGGTCCTTGACAAAATCCAGAGACGAATATGCAAGATGGTAGGTCCTGGTCTGGCATCTAGTATACAATCGCTATCCTACAGACGTGTCGTAGCCTCCCTCCGTCTCTTCTACAAATATTTTCACGGCAACTGTTCCGACGAGCTAATGTCTCTGGCTCCCTGACTTCATGAATTTAAACGTGCTACCAGGCTAGAATCTCAGTCTCACCATTTCACTGTCAAAACGGTTAAATGTAACCGTTTCTTCTTCTCAAACAGCTTCTTCTCCCGCACTTCCCGTCTGTGGAACCTCCCTTCCCCTTACTTGCTTCACCGATGACTATAATCTTCAAATATTCAAGTGTAGTGTCAATCGACACCCAGAGCTTGTTCCCCGTCCTCCTCTGTATCCCTTCCTCAAACACATCTCTTTACTCTTGTTCTCTATCTTCTGTAACCCCTTGCGTGCTAGTAGCACTCCCGCCTTGCTTGGGGTGAATTGCCTTAAAATATAACATAATAGTAAACAGTGAGGACTCATGCTGCGAACCGATCATAAAAATTCAGGATGTGTAATTAGTAAATTCTAAATACTTCAAACACCTCGATATATGAATCAATTATAACAAATTTAGTTTAGTAGATAAGGAAAATGAACATGGAATAGGCTGCGCTAGGGGTAGTTTCGGTCAACAACTCAAATAGTTATAAAACTAAGACATGAAACTAAAAAATCGTGTCATGAACTTAAATAGCCTCGTCAAGTCGAGACTTTTATATAAATGCCATGCATTGTGCTAAATCTATTCAGTAATATCTAAACTGATAAATGTTTACAACCGCTTTCTCAGGTCAATGATTAAAAATGGATTCGAACGAATGAATATTGTAACTCTAAAAGAGGAAAATCCTTCCTCGAACCCTGTGAACTGTCGATAGAGAATCACAAACAAATAACTTTACCAAATAACAGAAACATCATCACTTGATGACTACAAACAGCTGCAACAACTATAACGGATAGCACATGTAACACAAAAAGAAATTAATGATCTCAAAGTGTGGTCTTTTCACACTTATTTAAACAAAAGATTAAGAAGCAAGCCTCCATTAATACTGTAAAGAGCGATAATAATGAATTTAAGAAACTTATTTTCCTGAAAAACTTTTAAAA